CCACAGAGAACTTTGTATTTTATGACAAAAACAATTCTAGAGAATATTTGTGTGCCACATAACTACCTTACGGCAATAGGAGGCATTATGTACCCCTTCAGGGAAGGTCGTACTTCCAAAATGTGTTCGTAAGTGCTTTTCACCCCAGTGGCTTGGTGCTATCCAGAAGCTCTCGGACCACTCACCTGCTGCCAGGAAAGATAGGTCTCTGCTGGTTGAACTGCAAACCTAGAATGACTGTCTGTGTGACTAAACTGATGAAGGCAGGTCAAAAGATGCCAAATGGATGATGAGTTTCATGCCTGCAGGCTACTCTTTAATGATACTTTGTGAGGTGAACTGGGCCCCTGAATTGAGCTCAAATAGTTTTCAAGCAGAGTAAATCACATACAGCAAAGAAAAGTAGTATTCCTGTTTAGTCAGTTCAAGGCACTGGGAAAGATTTTGTTCTTGGAAAGGAAGAAGATGGTTTTAAAGAACTGGCAAGGCAGCTATTCTTATTTAAACATCTTTCCAGATTACTTATAAAAGAAGATAACAGGTTTGTATAACCGTATATTTACATAACTGCTTTCTGTTTCACAGATTCCTGATAAGATGAAAGTGACCAGAATGAGGATTAAATATTACATTTAAAGTTAGAAAATATTGGGTCAGCTACCCTTCTCTGTTAATAATTTCCCTTTATATATATCCATAGATATAATGCATACATTCCACGCACATGTGCTTTTTTTTTTTTTTTTTTTTTGTACCAGGGATCAAACTTGGGCCCTTGCACTTGCAACGCAGGTGAACCACTGAGCTAAGTCTCTTGCCCAGGAGATGGTATTTTTAATGGCATAATTTCTGATCTACATAAGCCTTTAAAATTTTTCTGTGCTGTTCATTATAGCAATGAGAGCTTTGAAACCAAACTCTGACTGGGCTTGTGTGTCACTTCTGCTAGTTGCAGTTATGGTTTCTCATTATTAATTCTCTCATCCTAGGATTGCCATTGGTAAGTTAACACAGTATTGGCCATGTTGCTTTCTTGACTTGTAAATAAGTCCATAGAAAGTGACACAGGGCCTGGTACAAAACAAAATCACTATATGTCTCATGATGTATACTGAAATTGTGGTAAAGGGATATAGCTCTGAAATATTACATGTAAATTATTTTATTTATAAATTTAATACATACACATTTATCTTTAAAGACGATGCTTAAAATGATATGATTAATTTTTATTCATTTAGGAAGTCAGTTTTCCCAACACCATATGCTGGATAATCTGTCCTTCCCTTAATGCTTTTTAATGCTACCTTGTTTGATCTGTCACTTACACTAACAACCTCTACACTGCATTTTTTAAATCTATACCAACAATAACATCAAATTTCACCAACAAAGATTTGGTGTCTATCTTAGTAACTAATATGAAAAGATGCTGCAATTACTTCTCTGCAAGTTTATTGGTTTTTTTCCCCATACTGTGGATTTAACCCATGGCGTTCACACTGAGGTACAACCCCCTTTTTATTTTGTTATTTTGAGACTCTCACTAAGTAACTAAGTTGTCCATGCTGGTCTCAAATTTGAGATCCTCCTGTCTCAGCCTCCCAGAATGCTAGTACTACAAGCCTGTGCCACCACATTTGAGCATTGACTTAGTTATTCATGGACTAAACTGACTGTTTAGTCAAATGATACATAATTATAAGTTAGTTTCATTAAGGTTCATGATTATGTTAGTATATTGTCAATTAAGAATATAAAAATTTTAGTTTATCAAAGTCTTTTGTATTTAGTGGAGTTTAAGTTCTCAAAAAGATGTTTTTGTTCTTTGTTGTTTTTGGACACTTTATAGTGTTATTACTATTATTAGTGATGTTTATTTTGTTTTGTTTTGTACTGAGGATTGAACTCGGAACTGTGTGCCTGTGAGGCAGGCAGCAGAACCAATGAGCTAAATTCCCAACCCCTATTATTGTTTTTTTTAATCTTATTTTCTGCTTGGGTATTGCTCTATATAGTAAGATGATAGTCTATGTAGCAAATTTGTTGACTGCTTTTTATTCTCTAGATGATGACCATATTTAAAACTAATAGTTTCACCTTTTAGTTTACAAGACTTACAAATGTTACACATCAGAGAAAAATGTCAATAACTAATAGTTATTCATTTTTATTCTTAATATAGTATTAGATTGAATGTACTTAGCTTTAAAATAAACATTACTTTGGCATAGATATTTAGTAGATTATTGCTACCAAATTAATGATGTATTCTGTTTCCTTTATAATGATAGGTTTGGATTGAATTTAATAATATGTTTTTGTTATATTATATTTTAGCCTACCACAAATTTTACTAATGAATTTTCTAATATTGAATCCTCTTTTCAGTTCTAGTAGAACTGTACTGGATCATGTTATCTTTAATGACATTTTGAAATAAACAAGTGAATGTTTTGGTAGAATTTTTGCATTTTACTTATAAAAGAGGCCTATGTATCAAATACTATGATCCTCTGTGAGCTCGTCATGTATCACTGCAGTGAAACACCAGGAGTAGGTTAACTGCACTCAGAAGAGAGGGGCTCTTAGTTTGGGAGCCTCAAGGACATGGCTCATCAGCTCAGCTCTGGGGCTTCCACCTCTGTCACAGCATGTTGGGAAGTGGAGTGGAGCAATCACATTCCCCAAGGGGACAGCAAAGAGCTGTGTGGGGCTTGTATTACCTCTTCTGGAAAGTACCAAACAATGCCTAATCCCTTGTAAGGACAGCTATCTCAATTGACCTCAGGACCGTTGGGCCCCACCTTTTAAAGGTTGTGCAACACTTCCCAAAACTACCACCTGGGCAACCAACTCCTGGTGAGTGCCCCTTGGTGGAGATGCATGATGACATCCTCATCTTTTGTAGGAATAGTTCTAAGAGATATTTCCATTTGCTCCGACTCTGTAGTTTAGCAGCACTATTTTCTCCACATACTCTTTCTTCCATAAAATGTAACCTGAAGAATGGCAGTCAATGGAAAAGAGTTGCAACTGATTCTGAAACAGAGGAGGAAAATATCAAATAATAATGAGCCTGATTGTTTGTTTCACACTAGGTCTCACTAAGTATTCTAGGCTGGTCCCCAACTTGCTATCTAAACCAGGCTGGCCTTGTATCATGACCCTCATGCCTCATCTTCCTGAGGGTTGGAATTACAGGCATGCACCGTACCCAGAATAATAGGCCTGTTCTATAAATAGAGTGCAAATTTTTCTAACAGAAATTTGCTTTCATTAATTTCAGAAAATGGTAAAAATGATTTAACAGAGTTATAGAAAGGTTGCAAGTATACTTCAGAATGAGAAAACTCAGTTTTTAACATTAATAGAGAAATCATACAATAAAACATTATTAAACGCAATCCTTATATGCAACTTTTAAAAAGAACAGAGCAGAATAAAGGAGATCATTACTTAAGTAGAAATAGTATGCTAAAGACCCACAGCAAGTACACTGGTTCTTTTAATTAATCACACAGCCCTCAAGTTTGGAAGGGATAAAAGCAGTAACTGCAATAGCCCTGCAGAGTCTTGCTACACATATCTTTATTTCCTTCAGTTGTTGACCTTCTTAATCTAGATTTTCTTTAGTTCTTCATGCATAATGGCTCATATATGTTTCCTGGTTGTTATCTTGTTGACATTTAGGATCAGAACTAGTGTTTATTCTGTTACTACAGAATTTTTCTATAAATAAAAGTAAGAAATCATTATTTTGAGGTAAGAGCAAGAGTTAAAAGCCACTATTTTTATTACATCCTCACACCGACCCCTGCCCTATGAAGCAGCACTCGCTCTCCCTTCACCTCCAGCACACGTGTTGTTGCGGTTTATATCTAGAAGTCCCCAAGAGCCTCATGTGCTCACAGGCGAGGCTTTCGGAAGAGGATTGGACCATGGGTCTCTGTGGCTGACTTGCTGTTAGGAGCTGGGGCCTGGTCAGAGAGTAGGTCTGCGGGGGTGTGCCCTGGAAGAGTGCATCTCCTTTATTGGCTCCTCACTCCTCTGTTTGCTTGTTGGCTGCCATAAGGGGAGCAGCTTTCCTCCTTGAAAGCACTTCTGCCAGGCCTTTCTGTGTTTAATATTGCTGAATGCGGACTGACACTTCACACTGTGAGCCAAACTGAACCTCTCCTCCGTGTGGGTGTCAGGTATTTATCCCAGCCATGAGAAAGAGCCCTGACATAAGATAAATGTCATTTGCTATCTTCTGACTTGAAGAAATGCTAACATAAAAGGATGTAAACGGGGTTTAAGTAGCCAGCATGGGATAATCACTATACTACCTGCAATGCAACAGTGGAGAGCTTGCTGTAGTCACTTTCTTTTTGCTGAGACAAAATGCTTGACACCCATATCTTAAAAGGCTAGAGGTTTATTTTGGCTCACCTATCATGGCATAGTCCACTAGCCACAAGGCAAGAAAAAATGACATAGGGACGTACTGGAAAGGAAGCAGGGAGCAAAGAAAATTCCTTCCACGATACTTTCTTAGTGACCTGCCTCTTTGGACCCCACTTTCCAACAGAAAGTCACCTATAATGCTCCCATAATCCAATCGCCTTTCCAATGCCCTCCTATGAGTGCAGGAGGTTCTTAGAAGACCTCTAGATGTAAACCACAGCAGAGCTGCTACTACTGAATGGGCAAGGAGAAAGGCCACATATAACCAAAACCCACAACTGGAGGGTGGCACTGGGAGCAAAAGAATAGCTGTCATCAATAGGTGTGCTGCAGGGCTTCTCTTTAGTACCTCTATTTATTTGTTCTTTATTGCCCCTATGGAGCATCTTTCTGCAGCTAACCGCCCTCCCCACAGCGCTCTGCTGTTCCTTTGGCCGTCCTTCTCTTGTCACATTGCTAATGAATTTGGATAATGGAGCTCCTTACACCGCCCCCATGTACTAATCATTTTAATGCAGGTCTCCTCTGTTCCTTGTTTTGTTTTTCCAGCAATGGCGTTATTCCCAGTGATCCTGTTCCTGGTTACTGCTCTTCTGCTTCTATCTTTCCCTGTAAAAGGGGATGAGGTAAGGTTAAGGTTAAAATCTTTTCAAACAACTCAAGAAACCATGAGAGAGAGAGAGCAAGATGCTAGAACAGAGTCCAAACGTGAAAAGGGCTGGCGGGACTGCGGCATCACAAAGTGCTCATTGGCAGCTCTGGGCCTTTGACACAAGTCCACAGCTGTGGGGACCAGCGCTGCATCCCCGAGGCATGTAAGTGTATTGACTGCTGAGTACATGGTTATCTAAATCAAGGTGGACACACATTTTAAGTACACAAAAGGTTTCACAGGTAATCTCTCCCCAAAAGAAGGTAAAATATCTCATAATAAGTTAATGGTGATGACAATTAAACAATATTTCTGATGTATTTGTTAAGTAATCTATATTATTAAATTCACCTATTTATCCTTTCTAAAGTTGCCATCAAAAAATTGAAAGCATATGTGGCATTTGAACTGTGTTTTGATGGGACAACATAAGTCTATAAGGGTCTTGCCAGTTTACACTTACAATTTAAAATCTTGTTCTTCCCTTTAAAACACTATATTTTTGTATAAACTTAAAATTACTCTTATTGCTTATTAATATTTTATTATTATTTTAGTTTGATGTCACACACCCATGATCCAATATCACACACACACATGACCTGGTATCACAAATTTAGGATCTGGGAGTAGTACATACCCATGATCCAGTCACCTTCCAAAAGCCCCACCTATCAGCCTACACCTAAGCACTCGCCTAATACAACCTAATTGAGTGTAACTGTCTTACTGGAGCCTTACTGGTTCTTTGTCATTGGAAGATGTTATCATTCATACAATACCTCTAGAAAAAATCACAATAGTACATCTCTAAAAACAAAAAGGCATTTGTGGCTTAAGAAGAGAGTTCAATTTTCCCTGTCATTGGTTACATCTCTATTCTCAAAACTGTAGTCTACTACTTTTCCATTTAAAAGTCTTGGGTTTGTCTTAGAATTATTGGTAATAATCAACAGCTAATATTGGCTTGAACCAAACACTTTTTCAAAATGAGCTTTGTCCTTTGAAAGATGAAAGACTTATTCACTTGTAATTTCAAATATATGAAAAATAAACCTGATTTTATTTCTTTTTAGAATCAAGAGTTTGCTGCTTTGTCAACCGCCCTACCAGAAGTCCAAAGGGAGATTGTAAATAAACACAATGAGCTATGGAGAGCAGTCTCTCCAAGTGCCAGTGACATGCTAAAGATGGTAAGAGGTTGGAATGTAGGGAAGGCGTCTTGAATCACTGTGAGCTGTGCTAAGAGCAGGCAGCTGGCAACTGACACCCCCTGCACCAACTTTTGCCTAAGAAGTTCTGCCTTGATTTTGGTATTTCACTTGTTTTATGGTCAGAGCAGAATTTCTTAACTTCCTTTGACAACATTTAAATAAATTGTCAAGTTTCTGGGACTTTTTAAGTCATGATGATAGAACTACAATGTCCTTAGGCACCCAGTGAAAGGTCTTTGTGTTTTTCTGCTCATTCTCTTGTCTCTTCTGATCTAGAGCCAGGAGACTCTCCCTGTAGGTCAGTGCTGTTTAGTGTCCCAAACAGTGCATTTTTGTGGTTCCAGCACAATGGTCACATATCTAGCAAATTTACTGTATGAGAGAGGTGGCTCATGATACACTATTTAAGGTCAGACAGTTTCTACAAATCATTAGTTCTGCCTGGTGTGCCATTATAATAATCGGACAATTTTAGATGCTTTAGTTACTTGGAGTAAGCATACTATCTATGGTTAATTGAAGCACAGAAGTGCACATTAAAAATATGTAGCTCTGCTTTTAATTTAAAAAGTTAGAAAGTACCTCTGAGAAAATTTATTTTATTTTTATGACACATATTTGTAACACATACTAAATATATTCACAGTGGGGAATTGGTATTGGAATTGATATTGAATATTAATCCTTTTACCCTTCACTGCCCAATTTTCCCCCATCCTTAGATTCCCTTCCCAGCTCCACAGTTTATTTCTCTGTTGCTTATCATCAGTCTTTTACTTTGCCATTTAAATTATTTATACTTTGGGTTTCTTATATAAGAGAAACTATGGATTATTTAACCTTTCTTTACAGAAATTTTATACAAATATAGACAAACCTATCTGTCTGACTATATATTACGTGTTCTTGACTTTTCAGCCATTGAATGAACAACTTTTTTCTTTCCCTCTCCCAGGAATGGAATGCTGCAGCAGCAAGGAATGCCCAAGCCTGGGCAGACCAGTGCAAGTATCATCACAGTAAGAGAAGACCGAAAACTCAGTACATAAATTAACAAATATTAACATTTTATAAATAAATCTTGCTTCGAAGCTTGCCTTTTTTAAATTGGATATCTCTAAATGTAGCTCCAGTAACTCTGAGAATTGCCACCCTGCTTGTATGTTTGTTTGTTTTTGGTACCAGGGATCGAACTCTGGCCATTTTACTTGCAAGGCAGGAAGCAGAACCACTGAGCCAAATCCCCGAGACCACCACCTTGTGTTTATTGTTTTCTGTTTTGTAAAAGCTGTCTCACACATTATTGCCTTTGTGTCTCAACCAGCCCTGGAGTAAAGCTTTGACTCATTCCTAACTCTACTTTGAAGATTAAAATCCATATGTCTGGAGGAAAATGATTGGTAATTAGGGTCACATGTAGGATTTTGAAAAAAATTTGAATTTCTGACTTCTAATCCAGTAACCATTTTATGATATTAGGATCATCTGTGTTTTGAAAACTAATTTTGGATTTATAAATCACACTGACCCTGAATTTTTCTCAAATATAATTAAAATTAACATTTATCTTTATTTACTTTTTAATTTTCATGACAGAAAATTTTTTGTATGTTCTGGGTGTCTACAATGCACCTTATTTTATTTTAGTTTAGTTTAGTTCAGTTTATTGGTACATTTTAGGTATGCAGTACAGTTACATTCATCATTGGCATCTTGCACCTTTACATGACAGGTCTTGGTTCTCATTTTTCCCCCGTCCCTGCCCTCCCTTCACCCTTTTCTCCCCTTCCTCCTCCCCATTTGCAAACACTTTATTCCCATTTTTTCATTTTCTCCTATTTTTTCTTTTCCCTTATTACCTTTCCCCTACCCTTCCCACTTTCCTTACACCTTTAGCCCTTTTATCAATTACCTCATTAGAATCTTATGTACTATTATAGTTTTTCACATCAGAAAAACTATTCAGTATTTACAAGTGTGACTTATTTATTTCACTTACGAATATATCTTCAATATGTATCCATTTTCCTATGAATGAATCTAATTTCTCATTCTTTATGGCTGAGTAGTATTCCACTTTATAGAAAAACCACATCTTCTTTATCCAGTCTCCAACTGATGGGCAAATGGGCTGTTTCCAAGTTTTAGCTATTACAAACTGTGCTGCTATAAACATTGGTGTGCATATATCACTGTGGTATGATTCCTTTAATTCTTTTGGAAAGATACCTAGCAGAGGGATGGCTGGGTCAAATGCAACCTCTAGTCCCAGCTCTTTGAGATATCTCCATGTTGATTTCCATAGTGGTTGCCCCAGTCTGCACTCCCACCAACAATGGCGAAGGGTTCCTTTCTCCCCACAACCCTGCCAACCTTTGTTATTGTGTGATTTCTTGATAGGAGCCAATGCACCTTATTTTTAAAGTTAATATGTCAAAGATAGATAAACTTTACATCAAAGAAAATTAAAACAGTGACAAAATACATAGGTGAAATATAAAATATTATAATATACATTGAATTATCACGATGCCAAAAAGTTAATCCCAGTTAAAAAGTAATGTATAATAGACCTGTTTTGAAGACAGGTCTTCATTATTATTTATATTTTGATTAAATAATTACAATACAATAATAAAGATGGGTATCTTTAGTTAGGAGAATATTTTGAGAATTAGTATTTAAAATCTCAGTGTTGTATGACAGGAGAGAAGTTTAGCACTCCCCTTGATAAGAATGGAAGAGGCTGTTGGTTTTTCATAGTGAGTAAACTAGAATAGTACGTAAGATCCTAATGAGATAATTAACAATATGAAAATAGGAAGAAAAGGGTTAAAGGTGTAGAGAAAGTGGGAAGGGTAGGGGAAAGGTAATAAGGGAAAAGTAAAAAATAGGAGAAAATAAAAAAAATGGAAATAAAATGTTTATAAATGGGGAGGGGAGAAAGGGGTGAAGAGGGGGCGTGGATGAGGGGAAAAATGAGAACCAAGACCTGTCATGTAAAGGTACAAGATTCCAATGATGAATGTAACTGTATTGTATACCTAAAATGCACCAATAAACTCAATGAGAAAAAAAAATAATGGAAGAGGCCCTTGGACCTGACAACAGGCATACGATTAAGGCATTGCCATCTACTTCATGGCATCTAACCACTGGTTTTTTGGGCAGGGGATTTAGCTCAGTGGTTCTGCCATCATCTTTGCAAGTACAAGGACCAGAGTTAAATCCAAGTACCAAGAAAAGAAAAAAAAAAATCTCATGCTACTGTAAAAATCTTATTTTCTTTCCTTTCCTCTTAAAGTATCTATATGTTTAAGAGATAAAGAAGTTATTTATTCTCTTTTTAAGCAACATGTAGACATTACATTTAACATCCAAATAAAAATAATATTTGGACAGCTTGAAAAATATTGGAATAATTTTGTGCTGCAAGATTCTGCTCATTTTGAGGGGATTTGGCCTGTGATGTTCTGATTGACTGATTAATGGGAAAACTATAACCTCTGAAAATACTGTCTCCTCTGCTGTTTGTTCATGCTTTAAAGAACTCACTGTAAGGTGTCTTTCAACATTTATAAAAAATAATAAACTTTAATATTAATTTAAATTTCATATATGAATATTTCTAGTGAGTACAGTTTAGAGCAGGAGAGAAATTAGAGGAGTCAGTAAGTTTCCAACAAAAAGCTGAGCACTTACAGGCTTAGATGATAGAAGAATTTAGATGATAGAAGAATTTAATGTGTAAGTTAATGAGCCCAAGGAGAACAGACATTAGAGAAAGACTTCTTCCTCTCATGAAAGCTCTGTATGTCAAGGCGACACAACATGCACTGGGCACATCTGGCTGCTGTTCTGCTTATAGCTGATAAGGACCTGAGGTGCTCTCCTTATGGATTGCCCAACATCTGGCAGCTATGGGTACTGTGTATGAACATCAGGGTCTCTGCCTAGTTTGTGTATGTGCATGTGTGTGTGTTCCCACTGAGTGCATTACTGCTTTCTTCATGAGTTACTGGTCCCTCTTAGGCATAAGCTGTGGTGAGAACCTCTTTATGTCGAGCGCTCCCTCTCCATGGTCATCAGCAATCCAAAGGTGGTACAACGAGAGCAAATACTTTACCTTCAATGAAGGGCCACTGTCACCCAGTGAACCAGTTGGACATTATACTCAGGTAAGAAAAATAAATAAAATATACTCTGCCCTAAAAAAATCTAAAAGAAAAAGTTGTCCAAATTTTGACTGATTCCAAAATCAAATATAAATTTGAGGGAAAATTTTCTGTGGATATAGTCTTGGCATTTTTTGGATCTTTGAGCTATTATTTTTTAATACCCAAGAGTTATTAATACCTTCTTTGTGAAGAAACACATTCTGTACTTTTCTAATAATCTAAAGAAAATAAAAGAATGAATACCAGAAAATGTAATATTTTAAAATATTTTCATTTGATTCAATAATTTATATATAAGGTGTGTACAAAGTACCTTCTGACATTCTTTTTAAAATATTTCCCTTTCCTCCCATGTACTCCATATCTTCCCTTGTGAGTGTGCAGGTTGCTTAGTAATCCTCTTTCCATGTCAGATGTGGAATTTCCCACTGTCCTAGCAACACAACTTTAGGATAGTTCATGGTTTGCCTTTACTGTCCTGCGTAAGCATACACTTAGAGATTACTGTCAATAATGCCAAAAGCAAATCAGTAACTTTCAGTTTTTATGTAAAAAGACTAAAAGAGTATTTTAGAGAAGAGCAAATAAATCTTTAGAAAGATTTTCTAAAGTCAAGTATATTTATCCAAATTCTTAGAAAGACAAGTTTCTCAGTTACAGAGATAATATTCAGAAGCTCTTTCTTTTTGGCTAAGACGACTTGTTTCCCCTCTCACCTGCGATTACCTGGACTCAGGTCCATGCAGAATAAACAACCATGTTGTTTTCTAGATTTGAGTTGTCCAAGTTCACACACTAGGAAGAGAGTAAAAGGGAGTGACAAACAAGTAACGAACGATTTTAGTGATTCTAGCAGCTCCTGTTCCAATGTTCATACTCTTCCTTAATTAAATTGTTACCTTAGCTATTAAGAAATGATTAAGGGGGCCGGAGATTTAGCTCAGAGGTTTGGTGGCCTGCCTTGCAAGCACAAGGACCCGAGTTCAATCACCGGTACCAAAAAAAAAAAAAAAAAAAGAAAGAAAGAAATGATTAAGTCTTGAGCTTTACAGGTTTTAATAAATATATAAAGTTTTTATTTGATTTCAAGGAAAGATACCTCCTTAAGCCTTTGCATCTCACAATTTTCTACAAAAATCTCTGAAGAAACCATTCATTAAGATCATGATCTATAGCCAGAAACTCATGTTTCCCAAAGTATGTTCAAACTTTCTCCAAAAATATTCAATGAACGTAATGAAGATACATTAATAATTCATCTGTTAGTTTTCATTTTTTTCTTATACATGAATTTTTTAACCAGTGGAGGCAGAAGATCTCACCAAATCAAGGTTCTTAACATAATCCACTATTAGATGGCATATAACCCAAATGATGTGGAATTGCAATTTTAAAAGTGTGGCCTTTGATGTCATTTTTGGACAAATCCTATTGGTGTTAAACAGAAGAAATTGAATGATACTAGCAGAATGATTTGAGTGCCTAGTCAAAAGATTAGTACATCTGGAGTCTGGAATCTGAAGTGAGAGTCAAAGTGGAAATTTTTTTGGGGGGTGGTACTGAGAATCGAACTGAGGTCCTTGCACTTGCAAGGCAGGTGCTGGAACCTCTGATCTAAAGCCCCAGCCCCAAAGTGGAAAAGTTTTAAAAAGCAGAGAGAGAATACTTCTGCAACACTTTTATATCTACTTCACAATTTTTACAACTGCTCATACATTCTGTGTGGAGAAAACATATCTGAATTTCCTTGAGCTTTTGCCCATTTGGTGAATCAAGAATTTGACTCTCTTGAATGTTCAGATGATAATGAACAATAATATACTAATCATAAGGACATACAAGGTAGGCACTGTAAGTTCATACACTGTACAGACTTTTGTTAACGAAACTATCTTCATTTTAAAAATAACATTTCCACTTTATTACATAAAACTCACACACACGCGCACACATACACACACACGCATGCATGCACGCACACAACATGGTGCACCTTTAGACATTCCCAGACCTGTCTAAGCACAGACTTTTCTAAAATATGTACCCAAACACCTAAATATTGTCACTCCCACCTAGAAGCCAAAATTTCACTGCAGCTTCATTTACACTGCTTCATCTTAAAGAGTTTTTTCAATTTCTAATTACAAAATTAAATTTTAAAGGAAGTATTAATTTTTTCTACTATATCCCTCTGAAATCATCTCCTTTCTCTGCAAGGAATATGTTGTATTTTAGCAAGCACCTGTAGTGTGCTGTCTTAGCAATTTGATCAAGTCTTTTGGGACATTAACCACATTGATATATACTCTGAAAACTTTAGGCTCTGATTGTCCTATTTCAGTTACATATGTTCTGAGATTATGATTAGGCGAAGAAGCGAATCTGTGAATTATTCTTTCACTTGGCTTTGCCATTTAAATACAATGGAAATGTTAGATTTTTAATTCTTTGAAATATTTAAAAAGCTTTTAATAAATATATTTGGTGATAACTGTAACCTAAACAGGAAAGTTTAGAATAATATATTTGACATTTTGCCTTTCAACTTTCAGTGGTAATAATGCAGCAAGACGATATGCCCCTTACAAGCAAGGAGCCCCTTGTGCCAGTTGCCCTGGCCACTGTGAGGATGGACTGTGCAGTAAGTTTTAAGAGATTAACCTGCTAGTTCATAGAATTATGTGCCAAACACTTTATAAATTAGAAAATTTTCTGAATTTAAGCAACTTAAAAGATATCTTTAAAAAACAGGCAAATTCTACACATTGGAGCCTTTCTAAATACTGTAGAAATTTTATACTCTTCCTTAAAATTTGTACTATTTGCAATGAAAATCCTGTTACCATATGTAAGAGAAAGAAACATCTTCAATTCATTTATATTTCTGATGACACTGATCCATTTACACAGTGGCTTCTATGAAAATATTTTTGGGGAAATAATTCACTATAATGAAATACAAAATTGTTACCATCAAGGAAAATGGCATTTTAAAGTTGGAATTTTTAGAATGGAAAGCAAAATGATAAGTGTTTCAGATGTTACAATATGGCTCACTACAGAGGGACATATCAAATACTGTGATTTGTCATATACCAATGAATACATTACAAATTTCTCAGCTCCTCCATCCTGTAACTAAAACTATCAAGTTTAATAACCACGTGCACTTCTGATTGCTAGTAATTATATATAAATTTTTAAAAGTCAAATAGCAAATTTATGTATACTGTTAGTTCACAGAAGCCTCAGAAATATTTTAGCAAAAATAGGGTGTAAAATAAATATTGTATACTATTTATTTCCAGTGTTATAAATAGAAGAATGAAGAGTATTTGTGTTCAATTAGGATATATTATTTAATTGCTATGAACAAAATAGTTGACTAATTCACTGGGAATTTTACCCTCCAAATGTACTCCCCTGAGTGAATTGCATCATTATTTCTGACTCATTTGAACAATTATAATTCTGAATATTAATGAAATCATCAAGCATAAAAACTATGAATGCATGTGAGGATATGAAGAAACAAGAACCATCCTATGCTGTTGGCAGAATGTAATATAGTATATGCACTACAGAGGTCAGTATGAAGGCTCCTCAAAAAGAAAAGCTCCTCTAATATGTTCCAAAAAGGTTTAAAGATATCATACTACTATAATCCATGCATACCTGTGTTATAGCAGAGCAATTCATAATAGCTGAGCTATAGGAATAGGTAAGATGTCCATCAATGGGTGGATGAATAAAAAAAAACATATGTATACAACAGAATACCATTTAGCTATTAAGAACAACGAAATCATGCCATTTGCAAAGTAATAGAGGGAATCAGAAATCATTGAGTTAAATAAAATAAATTAAATACAGTAAGTTAAATAGCGCATGTTTTTTTCTTATATAAGAAACCATACTAATTATTTAATGAATTGAGTTGACAGAGACTAGAAGGAACATTTCACAAAATTCAAATTTAGAAAGAATCACTAGATCACCCAGTGAGTTTATCTAAGGGACTTAAAGTTCCTCCAGATATGAAATTTAAATCACAGTACAATAATGTCAACTTCTACGCACACTCTCCTCCCCATTCCGACTAGATTTATTGTTCCTGTGGCTGCTATGGAGAACAGTGATAACTCAGTGACTAATTGTTTTGTTTTTATTTCAGCCAATGGTTGTGGTTATGAAAATGACTATACCAACTGTAAGGATTTGAAAAAAAACAATGACCTGTAATGATCCATTTGTCAACAACCATTGCCAAGCGTCCTGCAATTGTGAAGGCAAAATTTATTAACTGCCAGTGCATGTGAACAGTGCTGTGTGGAAAAGGCCACATCACCTACTTAGATTTGGTTTATACTACTAGGAAAATTATAGATAGGGAGATGCTACATATTTGATTTTAAACAGTAAAAATCTTTTTTTTCTAGATCTGCTTCATATTTTACAGAAATCTGTTTCATTAAAAGCTTTAAAAAGGTTTTTTTTTAAAAGCTATGCTAACAACTTTTGATTTTGATATGTGATTTTGTGATTTCAATTCACTGAATTTAATGGAGTTGAGGATTTTTTAAATGGTATTTTCCTGTGATTAAAGTCACAGGAATTCTAGACTGGAATTAAGATATTACTATAACTAATGTTACAAAAATAAAAGCAGCTAATAGTATCCTTGTATTGGGCTGTATTCACTTTGCTGTAGCTCCCCTTAAATAAACACCTCCAAAGAAGTGTCCACATGTGCATTTTTAATTCCTCTTTGTGCCCCCACTTTCTTCCCATTCATTGCATTTTATCTTTGCAATAATTTTGCAACAGTTATTCTTAAAGTAATCCTGACAGTTTCACTTTGTCAAAATCAATGAAGGCTTTTGGTTATTTGTCTATATAAATTTCACAGGAAAATATGATCACATATTCCATTTGAAATCTTTCTTCCCTTAACTCTTCTTTAAGGAAAAATTAAAAAATAAAATATGTATATACTCTCCCCTCAAAATGTCAAAACAGCTCAGCCCCTCATTCCTATCAGCATACTTTTGAGTACTCACTGAATTTAGTGACTGTCTTTCAAAAGTAGACAGTGGAAAGGAAAAGAAAATCAGTCATTTGGTAGAAATACGGCACATACAATCTTAGCCAAATAATCCCAATTTTATTTTCTTTCATTAAAATCTTAATTGTTCCCTTTGGAAATAACCTTTTTAGAATGCAACTCTTACAACACGTTTTTCTTGTTCGGGATGCATGCACCCACTGTTTTGACGCTGTACAGGGAATAAAACAAAACATATTCTGATCAACACTTAACACTTCCTCTCCAAGCATTAATTTGAACTGATGATTTTTAAATGATATATTTTAATATAGTAATGCTTTTATTAAGCCATGCAATAATATTAAGTTTCTCAGCTCTAATGTCTTGTGTTCGTACTATTTAATGTGTATCTCAATTAATTCCCAATAAAAATCAGTGGAAAATGATATAAAAGTCCCAAGATACTATTTATCTGTGATTTGACTGTCTTACCAACTTAATTTTGGCATATTTGTACTTTTTGTGTATTTTAAATGATAGATTATAAAAAACGAAGATAGGCAATTTATTCCAAATTTATACAGCAGAAGTATGTTAGAGTGTTATGTGAACAAATGGAGAAAAACAATTAAATACTAAATAAAAGATATACTTTAAAACATATTAATGAGCTAAGCTGTATATATAGTTACAGTATGAATCATTTCTCTTCCTCAAAAAATTCTGTGCTGTGTAAAAAGTTACACAGGTCTGTATTATTCCAAATTTGTCTTTTAGAATGATCTTAAATTCTCAGGGATTTTTTTTTCAAATTCAAGAAGATTAAATTGCTGCTTATATCAATCAGGAAATTTGTCAATTCAAATACAATTAAAAACACTCTCCATGGGAGAAAATGGTTTATTTTTCTTTCATGTTAATGACTACAATCTGTAGCTTCTTCATCTGGTTAATGTGCATACAGTGTAAAAGGAGTCAGGATACTAGCAATTCTGACAAGTTCAGCATCAAGCAGAATATGTAGGGTATGCACTGTGTCATTCCCTACAGTGGAAGTGGTGGCCTCTGTCAGGCAATGGGTGTTTCCCTAGATTCAATTGATATTGGCCCTAGTGCTTAAAAGGGTTTCTATTACTGGCTGCTCTAGTCCTGGAAAGTGATAAAGTGTGGGAAGCTCTTGTCCTCTGATTAAGTACTCAGGCTGATCCAGAGTTTCACAGGAAAAGACAGGAACCAGGATCACGGCTCCCAATCAGTGGCATCCACATCCAATCTTGTCAGCAATGTAAGATCTGACATGGTTGGCCTGCAATGGCATAGAGGAACTGTGCAGGTCCTAGCAAAAGTTTATTGTTCATCTGTGCTGCTAACATGGGCGGGTCTGCCCAGTACTGGGACATCAGAAACCTGAAACCTATGCCTATCTCTGTGCAGGCTGATGACCAGGATTGTTTTCTCTCTCTTTTATTCTTTAAGCTGAAGAGTCCACCAAGATTCAACTGTAGCTGTGTTGTGGCCGGAACTGGCTCAGATTCCTCTCAGCTGAACTGGGCTGGGCTGTAGCCTTGAGAACAATCACCAGCACCACTGGAAAATAAACTCACAACAACAACAGGACAGAAAAAAAAGAAAAACACAAAAAAACAAAATTAACAAAACCAGGGGATGGGGGACAAGGACAATAGGACAGTAACAACAGAAAAGAGAAAAACAGCAGTCATCTTCTGTGCTTAACAAAGTGAACAAGACTTTATGCAAAGCAGCCTCTTAGACTGATCACCTCAGTGACAGAGAGTTGCCAGAAGTCCTCAAACCTCAATTCTTTCAGGTGAGCAGCAGTGAATCTCAGCTCAATAAGACTGAAATTCCTATAGCTAAGGTTCTTAAGGGAACCAGCAAGAACAGAATGAGGACAGCAGTAGGCATGGTTTCTATATGGAACTCTTCATTGATTTTTATATATCTCATAAACCTAATAAGTTGCAATGAAATCTTCCCACTATAGAGGTAAATAACTCACCACTATAGAGACCTATATGTGAAGTGACACATGCCATTGAGATTTTTAATTTTAGAATACGAGACACTGAGAGCTTAATCCTGATGCATGGAGAGTAAGGAAGGTTTGATGTGAAAGCAACCCATTTGGTTTAACTTAGTCAACAACCCACAGCAAATCATTTTAATGGAAAGGTGCTAAAGCAGAACATTACACTTCCATTTGTGACCTTCATATGTCTATTTAGAACTCATGGCCAATAGTACATTGACTACTATATCACTATAATGATTGTCCTTCATTGGTTATTCTGTGGATGGATGCCACTCTTTGTGGCAGGAATTATCTTTCTTATACAGGTAACATCATTTTCATGTAATAACATTTACATGTAATTTTTCAAGTAAAAATTATGTTTACTGGCCAGTGCAGGATGCATAACTAGAGAACATTTTCAAACATAAGTCCTATACTTGTGAAGTGGTTCTGACAAAACAAAAATCAAATTTCTTGGTAGACAGAATCTTAGAAAGCATTAACTAGGGATTGGAGAAAAGGTGCATTTTATAAGGTTGAAGGGATGAAAGTGCAGAGATCTCACTCTGTGGACATGTGGTCTTTTCTGCCATTAAAAAACTATTTAAATAATATTTATGAGAAAAGTGTAAACTTGATGTTATTGTTAATATGCACCACAAAGCATGGAAATTTTGAGTATTTCAGGGAGTATCCTGCTGAAGCATGGTTGGTCACCTTGGATTGAATACCAAGGCTGACTGTATTTCCTCTGACAAACATCCCATGAAATTCAAGATGCACTATTTTTTAATTGAGTTTATCGGTACAATCTAGGTCTACAGTACAGTTACATTCATTAATGGGATCCTGTACCTTCACATGGTTCTCATTTTTTTCCCTTGTCCCTGCAAGATGCACTATTTTGAAAGCCATCTTTAAAAAAAACAAACAACGAAATCTATTAAATCCCATCATTGTCAGAGCCATGTTGATTTAAATGATGAACAAAAGTATCTAAGTAAACACTATTCATGTTCTGGTACACAATGCCTTCTGTTCATATGTAGTACCTATTCATATTTAGCAACCTTGACTTTCCTTAGAAATAAACTATACTAACAATGGACTTCTTTTTTACTCTGCAATGCTTCCCTAGTTTCTCTCTCTCTCTCTCTCTCTCTCTCTCTCTTTTGGGGGGGTGCCAGGGATCAAATTCAGGTCCTTGAGCTTCCTAGCAAGCAGCGGTACCACTGAGCTAAATCCCAGACCCTAAATTATCATTCTCTTTACATTGCTAAGTTTGTGCACTTCTTCACATACTATCTTAAATCTTTGTTAAATATCTAGTCAAATGTTTGTTCTTTTAAAACATTGGATTAGATCATTTGATATTTGTTTCTCAGAGTTCTTCCTAATTTGCATCTCCAGTCCTTGAAGTCATATATACCCATGATACTATAATAATGGTAATACATACATACAATATCATTATTGCCTTTGTTTTTTATTCCCAGTTTCGGTATGGAAATAAGATACATTTCATCAGTAGAATCCAAGAGGAAATAAATAAAGGAAGCACCTTGTTCTTTTCTGAATCAAGCACACTGTATGAATACTTGCACAATGATTTTTCAGAACCACAATATTACCCAAATCTGAAAAGATGAATGTACTAAATAACAAAATTTCAGTTACACCTTCTTTATTATTTTTTGTTTTGGTTATAATTTGTGGTACATATGTAAGGCAAGAAGGAACTGGATATGATAATGTCAACTATGTATTATGAAATAATATTTTTTGCAGATATGTAGCTTAATTTCAATAACAGATATTTGTATTTTTATTTGTATCTCAGTCAAAACCAAATAATACACAAAAGTATTGCAGATGGTTATATTGGAGGCATCAAATTTGACCAGTGCAAAACAACTCTAAATATCCCCCAGATTCGCTAACACATGAGAATATTCCAAAGAGGTCTAAAGTTAAATATTGTTAGAGTACAAAATATTCTTTTGTGTAGTCAAAAATTCATTATTGAGACCCAAAGGACTACAAAGCTTTCAGGCTGAAAGGCATCCCCAAAATGTAGAGCAAGAATGAACCTAGAGCCCTGTTCACCCTAAAGGTTAAAACAAATTAAATACATAAAATCAGTCTCTTAAGCTAACATGTACAATTTAATTTGTATGTTTTTCCCCTTAGAATTTTCTGTAAATTTGATATTATAATTATT